CCGGGCGGGGCCGAGGTGCTCCGCGAGCGGGCCGGCACCGACGTGCGCGCCGCCCTGGACGGGCCCCCCCACCGGCACTCGGAGAACGCCCGCCGCTGGCTGGAGCAGTACCGCGTCGGCTGGCTGGACGGCCCCTCGCAGGTAACTGGGGCGCGGGGGCGCGCGAGGGGGGGAAGCACACGCCCCTCTGGCCACGGAGGGGCAGGCAGGCAGGCATTCAACAGGGAGGGGGACCCTGGAGGGGAAAAGGGACGACACTCGGCGGCTGTGCGCCCTGGAAACCCGCTCAGTCCGGGCGCGCTTTCCCTGGGGAGTTAAAGAAGACGAGGGAGGGATTGAGGAAACGTTGGGCGAGAAAGCCGAGCGTCTCCTCCTTCCCTGCCGGTGGGAAAGAGTTTTTGGGCCCTTCCCACTCCCCTTCTGGACGGGGCCATTGCGGGCCGGGCGGGGGCGCTTGGCCAAGACTGGACGGACGGTTTAAGTCAAGGGATGCGCGGAAGCCCGGCAGGGAGGCCGACGCGACCCAAACCGGAGAGGGAACGAAGGCGCGCCCCCTGACCCGAGGCTGGACCACCCGTTACACCCACCAAGCGAGAGTCACGGGTCCGACGTCTGCCGGGGAGTCCCCTGGCCGGGCAAGGACCCCCTCGGAGGGCAGTTGCTCTCTAACGCCTCTTTGAGCTGAAGAGCATCTCCCGGCCTCTTTAAAGAATCTCCTTTTGGCATAACAGAACGGAGGAGGGGCATTGGGGAGGGAAGGAGGGAGAACCCCTCGAAGAAAATACAAAAGTGCGGAAAATACACAATCCCTGCATGGGGGGGGGTGTCTCTTGAGGTTCAGGATGGGTTGACATTCCGGTCGCCTGGATCCAGGTGAAAGAATAATCCAGTTACAGTAGAACCATCTTAGAAAGGCAGAGTGCCGAGGGATCCTAGAGAGCCTCAAGTCCAGCCCCTCTCAAGGAGGCACGGGCAGGATTTGAACTCCCAACCTCTGGAGTTTCAGCCAGATGCCGAAACCAGGGATCTACATGCTGAAGGCGGGCAGGAGAGAGCACGTCTCCTCTGCACCTCAGTCTCTCTCTCTCTCCAAACCGAAAGTCGTCATGCGATGCCTCTTCCCACGGATCTCTCCACCTGCCGGCTTAACCTCCGGGGTCCGCAGAGGTGACGCCCTCGGCCTGGATCCCCCGCAACTTTTCCAACGGCTGCCACCCCTTCCTCGGGAGGCCAAAGGCCAGAGCTTAGGGGGCAGGAGGCGATGGGAGAGCCGATGGGGGGGTGACCCATGCCATGGATGCCGCCCAATGTGGGGGCATGAACTTGGCTGCCACTTTGCCTCCTGCGCCAAGGGAGGGGGCACATGAAAAAGGGCACACGGCCCTTGAATGTACAGATCGGGGAAGACTGCCACAGTTTCCTCACCCTTCCCCCACTCTTTTAGCCAAATCATCCTTCCTTTTCCCTGTGGATGAGAGAACCGAGGCTGGCCCAAGAGGGCAGAAGGGGGCGGTTGCAGCTCACGCTGCCCCTTCCCACTCCTGCCTCCCTCCCTGCCTCTTACCGGACCCCTTAATTGGTCCGTGTGAATCCCCTGCGCCCCTCCCTGGCACGGCTCCTCCCCACCGGCCTCTCCCCACCTGTACTGGGCCTCCCACCCTCAACGCAGGAGGCGCACCGGCCGCCTCCGGGTAATTCCAGAAACAGGTGCTCCAGGGGCCGTTGCAAAAGACCGAGAGGTTGGCCTAGATGGTGTGCACACACAAAAACACACACCCCGTACACACCCTGCCCAGCTTCTTCCTCGAAATCTGAGCCCCGGGTTTCCTTCTTTGGCAAGCCAGGAAGATCCCTGAGTGGGAGCTGCTCTTGCCAACGGGCCCCGCTGGCGCCTGCTCTTGTGGCCACCAGGCTGGGCAGAGTCTTGTGCCCCTGCTTTTGGTGACGGGGCTGCTAGTCCTGAACGAGGGAGGCCTTCTCTCAAAGAAGCCCTGAACCAAGTTCATAGAATCACAGAACCATGGAGTGGGGAGGGGGGCCCTCGAAGGCCACCAAGTCCAAACCCCCCCCCCGCTCAAGGCAGAGATCCCGATCCAAGCAGATCGGACAGAGGGTGGTCCAATTTTCTCTTGATTTCCTCCAGCGCTGGAGAGCTCTCCACCTCCCTCATGAGGTTGTGAGTTCCATGGGTGTACTGCTCTAACAGTTAAGAAGTTTTCCCTGATATTCAGCCTAACTGTGGCTTCCTGTAGCTTGAACCCGTTACGACTCTGGGAGGACTGAGAATAAACGCTACTCCTTCTCAGAAGGGCTGCCTTTCAAGTTCAGCGATTTCGTTGCCACCGTCAGAAAATGCTGATAGTGCCAATTATTCTCTTGTGCTGCGTCCGTGGCTGCTGTTGGTCCTCTCTAGCTGGGTGGCAAAAGGGAGACAGTAGTGTGGGGGGGGGAAGGGATCCATAAGTGTCTGTTTGGGCATAACTAAGTTCTCCTGTTCTCCCCAGTGAGTTTTTCATGGCTGAGCAGAGGCCAGAACCTGGATTTGGATTTTCTAACTCCTAGTCCAACACTCTAATGGGGGCATCACGCTGGCTGAACTACAATAAATGAATGAAGTCGAACCTCTCCATTCAGGAGCAGTCTACCTCTGATTCCCATGTATTAGTGGGGAAAGCAGTGTACAGATAATGTGTGGGGTGCCAGCATTCATCCTGACATTTCTCACTGCCGTGCTCCCAAGGAGAGTGCAAAAAAAATGCACCCTTTGCATTAATCTATTTTAGTAAATTTGATCTCCACCATTTGCGCAGCTAATTACTCTTAATTCTCCATTCAAAACCAAGCCACCCCAAAAGATTTTAGAATGCAATGGCTCATTCTCTGAATTTCCAGCATTCTTCTACTAGATATCAGAAAACCTGAGTTTCTAGCACTAACTGCTTGCTATTGCAGAGGTATCCTTTTCTGCTTCCCAAATCTGTGTGTTCCCATTTCCCCTGGTTTTTCCTTCTCTTTTTTCACATTCCCACGGATCTCCACTTCTATCGCACTTCCACTGACCCTGTATGAAGCTTCTTTCTTTATTCCTGGTGTAATCCTTAGTTGATATTCGACCATGTAAAAGTCCTTGGACCAGGCGGTGTGTGTGTTTAACCCTGGTCTTTTTGGTGTTTGTTTGTTTTTTGAAGCCCCTAAAGACTAAACAGCTGTTGCAAACCACTGTCTTGAGTGACCCCCGTTGGAACGATGCTGGTGTTCCCTTCACCTTTCTCCTGGAATGGGTGGCTTGTCCAGCTGTTTTCCCCCTCTGTGTGGGAAAATGTAGGGGAGTGTGTTTAAAAACAACCCTTCCTTCTCTTTTTCTTTATCCTGCCTCCTCTTCTTCACCATCACCGGCCTCTCTCGCTCCTGCCTCTTTTTCGAAAGAAAGCAGAAAAGATCATCATTGTTATGTAGTTCTGAGCATGAAATTTGCCCCTCTAAAATGAGTTGAGCACCCTGTATATTTACAGTATTCCAGTTTCATAGGCACCTGGTTGCTGGAGAATATGACCGGGAAGGTGTCATGGATTTCCTGTTCTGTTTGCTGGCTTCCTAAATACATCTCTCTGACCTCAGTGGACCCAGGAAAGCGGAAGGGATACCTTTTTGTCTGACCTGTTGGCTGTGTGGATCTTCATGGTTTTGCACACCTTTCTCATCCAGCCACCTTCCCCTGCCCTTTTTTCTGCTGAAGATCACACCCTCCTGGCTCTGTGTTTTCTGTATGTGGACAAAGAGGAACACACCCACCTTGAGACCGAGGCTTGTCTCTTGCAAGGGCTGGCCATCCGCTTCTAGGTTGAGAACCCGTTCCATATCATGTCCAGGTGAAAGGCAGGGCTGGGTGGAGGCGGCAGCTGGCAGAGCAAACATGGAGTGCCCGGCGGGAAGCGTTGCCACCAACCCTCTTTGGCTAATCATTACCAAGCCTGTTTTGTCCCACGGCAGCCTTGAGCTCCCCTGCGCCTTCCACTCCTCGGATAAACTTTGTTTCTCATACTTCAGAGATGGGAAAGAAGGCTGGTTTATGGTCGGACATTTGGAGCCATTAAAGGTCCTTGTACAAGAGAAAGAAACCCTGGTTTTGCTTCAGGGCAAGCCTGGTCAGGTTGAGCCTGGTCCCTGTGGCCACGTGTTGACAAACAGTGGCCAGGAGCCCAGTGGGTTAGTAGCCACCTCCAGGGCCCAGAACTGCAAACTAAAAGGCGAGCTAAGTGGCTGTGCAAGGCAGGGGTGTGTGTGGAGACCCTCACAGTCACAGGACATCCTGCTTTCCTGCTTGTGATGCCAGCAAGACCTGGCCTGGCCAGTGTCTGTCAGTTTCCACGCAGCATGGAAAGCGGCAATGGACAGGCTCGCCAGGAGAGTCAAGATGATGGGTTCATCACCAGTCCTCTCTGTGGGAATACGGGAACCTGCCGGCTCAGTGCGCCCATGGAATAACGCAAAGCGTAGGTGTGTGAGTCAGGCGCATGTCACGAGGGGAAAGGTGATGCTTGGCAGCAGTTGCTTTCCCCGTGGATGAGTCAGTGTGTGCTGACAATCAGGTGTAAGGGTTGGCCCTACCTGCTTTGGGTTTTCTGCGGAACAGGGAGTGAGAAGAGGTGGCCGTCAGCCCATGTTTCTAGCCCTCAAGCCTTCTCTCCTCGCCCACCCATCCAACGTTCTTCAAGCAAGGGGTGTGCCGTTCCTGTTACACATTTTGAAAACCTAGAGGAGGCCAACAAAGCTTCCAGGAAGGGGACGCCTTTGGCTGATCTGGGGTGGAGAACAGCTTGTATGATCAGGGAATTTGGGCTCATCCCATGGGGCTGGTGGCCAGGCTTCGGCTGTTCTGCTTGTCGTCACGAGGGGAAAGGTGATGCTTGGCAGCAGTTGCTTTCCCCGTGGATGAGTCAGTGTGTGCTGACAATCAGGTGTAAGGGTTGGCCCTACCTGCTTTGGGTTTTCTGCAGAACAGGGAGTGAGAAGAGGTGGCCGTCAGCCCATGTTTCTAGTCCTCAAGCCTTCTCCCCCACCCATCCAACGTTCTTCAAGCAAGAGGTGTGCCGTTCCTGTTACATGTTTTGAAAACCTAGAGGAGGCCGACGAAGCTTCCA